TTTAGAGCCCTACCTTATGGATTTAAAAGTTCTCAAATACTGGGTTTTTTTGCTTTTTTTGTAGAATCCTATTTTGGCAATCAGATTTTTTGGATATATAAAATACAAATACATTATTTTTTTACAAAATTCATATTTATTTTCATTTTTTCATCGAAGGCTAATTAAAATCATGGGCGATGACACCCATGCCTGTCTGTATCTTGTCTCAAAACGATTCCCGTAATGAAAACCGTGATTTCTAGAATTCTTTCGGTTATACAATGAATAAAAGCATTCTAAAGTGATCAGAAAAATAAAGCATTCTAAAGTGATCAGAAAAATGATTTCTAAACTTTCGAGTCAATGTTTACTGGTGTATGTACTTTGGCTTTTGTCACTCTTTTAATGAGATTCAGGTCTCGAGTGCTGAATTTCTCTTTCCTCGTCATGACTGATCTTAAATTTAAAATTAGAGCAATCTATAAAAAGGAACCAGTTCTCAATTCTTTTTCTGTATTAGTCCCAGCTTCGTCTGTTCGATTCGGATAATTTCAGTACGATTCTTTGGGGTAATTTTCTAGTAGTCTAAAGTACTTATTTGAGAACTGTATGAGATAGTGTTCTTTTGTCACTGAGAAAGTTTCGGACATCGCCTAGGTAGCGGAATGGTAGTAGCAGAGCTAGTTGCTGTAGGCATGCAAGTGTAATTCTTATCTGCCTTACTACCACTGATCAGTACTTTTCTTCTGCGTCACTCTACGGTCAATTTTTTTATTTACTTTTCTTATCTTTTTGTCTTTTTGTTTTCCTTTTTAGTCTTGCAACGGCTTGATCATTCGCTTTCCTTTCCGTGCAGATTTTTGTTCTCCTTATTGTTCACCATTTGTTTGTTGTTTTTTTTTTATTTTTTTTTATTTTTAGCAATTTCTACAATTTCTAATGGGTTCAACACGATTGCCAGTTGGTGGTATGTCATCGATGCAGATGTACGTACAACCAACAGCTCCTGAAGTGCTACCGGTCGCGCACACCTGCTTTAACCTGCTCGACCTGCCCAATATCGCCGACAGCAAAGAACTGTTGCGCCGCTTGCGGATCTCCATCCAGCATACGCAAGGATTCACCCTCGTTTGAAACTTCACCTCTGTCTCTTTATGTCTCTGGCTTAATCGGCTCGAAGAACTGTCCAACAATGGTTTCAATGCTGTTGTTTTTGTTTACAAAGGAAAAGCTGATTTCTCCTTATCGCTGATGAGTTTACGTCCTTTCCTTCCTTTCTATCGCTACAAACTTCATATGCCAGTTTTTGTTTTTTGCAAATTTCTAAACAACAGGGTATTCAATGCGTTCCTTGTTGCTCACCGTCCATTGTATCGATATATTTACAAATATATATCGATTTCTTCGGTGTGAAATAGTAGTCATTATGCCCAGTGTACAGTTAGTGTAAATTATAGGGGCTTCGCTTGATTTCATATTTACCGACTGTTTTGTTAAGAAAAGGTAAACAGGAGAAATGTTGTAGTTGTTGACAAATTAAAACGTGGTCGATTCATTCGTTACATACTGTAAAGTTATTCAAAGGAATTCATTTACCTACCGTAACTAACGATGATAATGTGATAGGAAATCAATAACGCTTTATATGTGTCTTTGTCGTTGTGTGGACTGTACTCGAAAAACTTTTTTTTCGTTACTCGAAAATAAATTATGATTCATTGATTGGTTTTATTGACATTTTCGATACAGGCGATATTGATTTATATCGATTTTCAGTTTCTTCCAAATTTTTACCTTTCATTTGTCGTTAGAAATTTGAACGTTTTCTCAATAGCTTGATCTGTAGAACTAATTGCAGTCTCGGAAAACCTTTTTTTCATCAGATTTTTATCGATCGATTCCGTTGTTATTGATTTTTCCGCACGTTTTCAAAACTTAAAAGTGGGAAGTTTGGACTCTGTTGAGAAAACCTCTGAGTAGAAAGGTATGGTGGAGATTAGATGACTGCGTAGTTTTTGATTACCATCAGTCAATCAATGAGCAAGCCGATCAATTATTGATTAGTTGATTTCGCTAGCTCTTTCTCTTATTAAAGTTCACCTAAAAAAGCTCTAAAAGAATCTGTTTTGGCTCATGATGTGAACTTACAATTTTTTTATATTTATGGCTTCTATCTCAAGTATATCCGGGGCTTTGTATTTTTGCCTTTTGACTGTTATTTACTGAAGGAATTAGAATAATGCAATGAGAACGATGTGATTGGTCCCTTATTGTCGATTTTTTCCCCTTTGTTGCCCATTGAAATCGAGCGTTTACCTATTATTTACCCCCGATTATTGACTGTCCATAGCGAGGTTGAATAGGCTGGATACTGATCAAATGCCTGGGTTGAAGGATTCAGAGTTGATCCACAAACTTGGGTAGGATCATGATCACATTAGTGTCTTCATCGTGGCGTATACCACTACCTAACTATTCTCCGGCACCGAAGTCATTGGTGTGGGCAGTACTTAGGCCAGGGTTTTATCGACGGGAAGTAGGTGGCAGCGGTGTCACTCGTCAGCTCCTTACCGAAATTCGTCAACCGAATACTTATTCCGTGAGAGATAAGTGGTCCGGACAACAGCCGGTCTTGTGCTGAATCCTTGTGTGTATTGCTAAGTGGGTCTGACCGAGAAAAACCAAGCTCTGGGTACGGTATAGTAGTTGACCGTGTGAAAATGGGAAACATAATAACAGCGTAGAGAAGGAATGATCCCTCTTTGTTGAAAAGCGCCATTATAGGTATGTAGTTCCAGATCTCCTACTACTATTGATTGATTGATTATTGCCTAGTTAAATGTGCCTGAGGATCGTTTATGAAGTCAGGATCTCCGTTAGAAAATGATTAATTTATTCGTTGAATAGCCAGGGTTATCGATTGCTTGAACGTT